TTAATAAATATTAATCTTTATAATAATTTTATCTATATTTAACACATAATATTAAGCTTACTATTAGATTAATAATATGTCATAAATGTTATAATTTTTTTCACTATATAAATTAAATTGCATAAATATTAACACATAAATAATCTCGAACTATATGATTTTCACCCACGACGATATGAATTTTTTTTTTTTAATTTACATTGTCTTTTGAAAAAATTAATCGAATACAATAATTTGGATGGATAAATATTTTTAGAAAGAAGGAAACTAAGTTTTCTCTCTCATGATCCCTTTTAATCTTTTTATGTAATTATATTTTTTATAATCTTTTACTTCACTCATTATATTAAACAATATTTTATATTTTTTTTATCAAAGTATGTGATTAAGATAATTGAATAATAAAAATTTAACGCATATTTAATAATTATTAAACATAATTATTATAACAAGTTAGCTTAAAACTTAAATTTAGCAACATTAAGTAACTAATAATTTTTACCGTTTATGAAATTGTTATAGTAATCATTAGTACTATAATAGTTTCTTATTGTTAGTGACACAAATTTTTTATAATTAAATATTTTTTTTATATTTTATTATTTAAATATATATATAATATTTTTATATATAGTAATAATATATTTATAGATTTTTTAATATTTAAAAATTAAATATCTATAAAAAAATTCTAAAATTTAATCTCATGTGATTGAAAAGCTTTTGAGATTGGCAAATTTACTTTCTTTTTAGTTTTTTAATCTGTCAATCACATTAACCCAAATAATTTTGTAACAAAAAGTGTATTATCCAATCAATGGAATTCCAAGTTTCAAAGAATTTTTTAAAATTATGGATTAGGAACAAATTAAAGCAACTTAGTAAACCATAATCAAGGTGTCTCCCAAATTGGAAACCCTTACATACATGCACCCAAAGGGTTTGTCTTTGAATTACATAATTACTTCACCAGTTTTCATGAACGTAAGCAACACATACATATAATCTACATATATATATATATATACATATATATTTATATATAGTTGAAGAATTAAGGATTTTTACAGTCAAATGATCATTGCATGTTGTGTTTCAAATTATTTTTAACATTCTCACATCATTAGCTTTGTGGGTGTCACATCATTATAATATGTATGTGTGTGTGTGTGTGTGTGTATATATATATATATATGCGTATAAGAGTTTTGTAAAGCTTTTTATAGGATATATTAAAAAATAATAATTATTTACCTGTCACTGTAAGTAACACTATTAATTAAACCTTAAGTGCTCTTTATTAGGATAATACAAAAATGTGGTTTGATAGTGAAAATGTGAAAAATGAATGCAAAGTCATGTGCTTAGGGACAACCTTTAATCATTGAACATCATGGAAACTGAGAAGAGTTTCTGACAAACTCCCTGGTATATGTCTCAAAAAAGATAATATATATATATATATATATCTATGTGTGTGTGTGTGGGTGTATCTATTGGTTCTAAAGTGGCTAGAATACCAAGTTCACATCTCTAAATGTTTTAGCTTTGAGTATTTACCAAGTTAGAGAATCTTGGGCTTAAATTATTCTTAATTTTCTCATCCTTTGTCTATTTGTTTATATTTGATTTTATTATAATTTAGAATTTTTATAATAACTTAAAAGCTATTTTTTAGTGTTTTATATAAAATTACTTGGTGGGCCAAAATCCTTAATTTTAGCTTAGAATTATAGTTAAAGAAATACCATAATTGAAATATATATATATATATATGTATATGTATATGTATAACTCAAAACCAGCCGTAATAGTTTTCCTTGTGACCCAATTTACTATACCTCAAATAGAAGAGAAAGAAAGTGATGATATGCACATAAACATATACATATATATATATATATATATATATATATAAAAGTATATATAGACACATTACACCTAACGGAGTGATTGAGGCCAATCTATAAGAAATGTAGTAGTTAATTGCCAAAAAGAAAGAACCCAACTTAGGTGTGTGGATTAATAATGTTGGGGAAAGCTGCTTTGGGTAAACAATAATTTGGGTAAGCTAATCCACTTTCTTGTTTGGCATTTACTTGATGCCTTACACGTCGAAAACTTATCAACATATTTCTTGGGTGTTAAAAACTTTGAAGCTTAATGATTTGAGTTCCAAGACCCCACCTTCCCCTCACCAGGACCTATTGGCTTTTTCAATTTGGTTCATGTAAACAGACAATTACATCCCTTTAAACACAACCAGCCGAAACTTTGGGTTTGATTTCTAGCTTTCCCACTTTCTAGATTGGCATATAATTGAACAAAAGTTTATTTGAGTCATAATTTAGATTTGTTTGTTTCAAATATGACCTGCCTTAATTTCTTATAATCAAGGAGATCAAAGTGGGTTAGTATGAAACACAAGTAGAGCTTCACTGTGAGTTGAATGAGACTCGAACACAAACCCATCTTAGAGTGTGTTTAATAATGTGGCAGCGATGAAGAGATGGAGAAGTTACGGCGGAGAAGAAAATATAGGGATCGCCAAGAATTACATCGACCCTACATTTGACTTGTCAAGAATTTGGCTCTGGGGAGCAAAGGTGTAACTCAGAAAGAAAAAGACTACAACTCTAACACAAAAGATTGCCAAGGTTGTGTTTGGAACACAAAAATTATGAGAAATTCATTAAAACTTGTATAAATCTTATGCGAAATTAAGATATATAGCAATCTAAATTCTACCAATTTTATCACATTTTAATGGAATTTGTACCATAATTTTAGTTAAACTGAATATAAATTTACAAATGAATTTTACTTGAATTCTAAATTTGTTTCGAACAAAGGCTAATTCTTTTCAAAGTCTCCTTGCCCTTCAGTCATACAGTAGCTTGGCAGCTTGAGTTCTCTCCCCTTTCTGAACAGTCTTTGAAAGTTTCTGAACAATCTTTTCATTCTGAGATATGGCTTTGGCTACGGCTTTCAACTTCCTAACATTCTTTGCTCTCTTCATCAGCCTTCCTTTCTTCTGAGTTCTGTTCCATAAATGTATTCAACATCCAAAATAAGTTGATGGCAGGAAAAAAAAAAAAAAAAAAGGAATGCATGTACTTACAGAAAATAATGCAAGTGAATCCAGAAAGGAAAACACAACTAAGAATGAGTTTTGATTTAAATTTCAAATCTCATGAAATACGAGTCAAGATAAGAATACAAATAGAATATAAATGAAATAAAGATAACATTCTAATTCCAAGCCAATTCCATCAATTCAGGTATTATAAGTTTGTGATGTCTTACCTGACAGGTGAGAATATTTGTTCACCATTGTAGAATCGAATATTAGAACTAAGTTAACTAATTAGGTAGCAAATATGTAAACTATGATTGATGTGACATAATTACGATACAGAATTGAATAGAAATAGCAAAGTTTTGAATAAATGATACGAGATATGGATATACAAAAGCAGCTAGCTAAGCTTTAAGTTGGATGATCCTACGTAGGATGTTTTCATTGTCTACCGATTAAAATATAAGATTCTAAAATAAACAGATAAAAGAAGAAATTTCCGATTAATCAACAAAACTTTGACAATTTACTAGCATAAATATTGATTCAGCACATAAAACAGTAAGAAGAGACACAAATCATACTCAGAACAGGTTGAAGCAGTTCCAAGGATCAGTTAGTTACCCACTAAATCTAAAACGATGTTATGTCCTCTTAACTTGTTCAGGCACAACTAATTCACTGGACTTAAGTTTCCACTAAGTCTATAATTAGGGAAGGCTGCGAGCCAAGCCAGGTACCAATCAGTTTAGGTTCAGCTTGATCAAAGATTTCGAGTACAGTCAAAGTTATACTCAAGCTGAAGTTTTAAAAAAGTTTGTTTAAACATTGTGAGATATGGGTAGATAAGAACCTAACTTTAAGGTGAACAATCTAAAGTAAGATTTCTTTATTGTCTACTTTTTAAATCACAATGATATGTTTCCACAATAAACAGCTATAAGAAGAAATTTCCAATCAAAGGACAAATACTCAATCTATTTAATTGACAACAAAAAATGATTCAGCACACAAAACAGTGACGACAAGAGATGCAAGTAATACCCAGAAAGGGTTGAAGCAGTCGCAAAGAAATCTTTCATAACCACTTTTTTGAGTGAAAAGAAAAGAATTTGGACTATGTTCTGGAGAATGCATATTAAGACCTTCTAAAAAAAATTTTTTGAGATAAAAATATAGAAAATGTATTAATGTGTAGGCGCCGAGGAGGCATCACTCATGTACAAAAGATTTACAAAGAATTTACAGGTCAGATTTTCTTACAAAATTAAGAATTATGTTTCTAGCTAACCTACAAATCATTGTAATAGCAAGGCTAGATTACAACTTTATTATTATCGTAGTTTCATCTTATTAGAATTTAATTGTGTGGGATTTAATTTATGATTTCCTTACTAGAACTAGTTCCTAAAAATATTACTAGCAATATTTCTTGATTTAATCCTATTTGGGAAA